TGTACTTCCTTCTTGTCCACCTCTGGATGTGTTGTGTATAGACTCTGGGGGGACAGTTCTGAGGGGAGCTGGGGGGGGCAGTGCCCCTGTGACAACATACATGGCCCCCTGTGCCCCCCCTAAATACATATGCTACTTGGGTCTGAAATAAATGTATTGTTATTACTATTATTATTATTTACATTTATATATGTGGACGAAAATTTTGTGCACTGGAAACAGGCAAAACACAAACGTAAGTATATTTTCTTGACGGACTCTTAAGGTGAGTGGGCCGGGTGGGTGAGTCGCTTCAACTGGTGAAAAGGGCCGAAAAAAAAAAATCAAGCTTGTGGAAGCAAGACTTTCTAAACAAGAAATCAGAGTGAGTTACATGTTTGTAAAAACTGTAAAATCTAACTGCCAAACGTTGCATAAATAAGATGGCAATCTAAGTAATACCTGGAGGAAATTAAGGTCAAATACATTGGCCCCCCTAACAGAACAACTGACCCCAGTCTGCCCCCTCCCCCACCTGAAATGGTCTAGAACCACCAGAGCTGTCAGCTGTCTGCCAGGTGATTTACTTTCTGCTTTTAATTGTTGAGATGCATTTGATGATCTGCTGCATGAAGCGAAGTGTCCAAAGCGATTTCCTGAAGGAGCACGGAGCTGCTTTCCTGCTGGCCAGTGTGGCTCACAGCAGAGTTGCACACGTTGCTGTGTGACACGCATCATGAATGGTTACCAGTAAAGATGTCACAGTATGCTGGTGTCAGACCTCACTCTTCCTTCTCTGGTGTTTTCCTGACGGTTGATGCACTTGCTGCAAACATGCACAGTCATGGCTGCTGATTAAAACAGAGCAGATTCTGCATGGACAGGAACCTCAGGCCCCATCGGCCACCTAACAACAAGCCGGCATATGCAGCTGTGCAGTGTTGAAATTATAAAAGCAGATTTAGTTTTTGTTTTAGCTGGTTGCTCTTCATGTAATTTCACTTTCTTTTATTGTTATTCGTTTGACAGGTTTCTGAAATGAACGCCAAGGTTAAGCTCAGAAGTGTCAGACAGTTTGAGAGGATGCTACCATTATGGGGAAGAGGCGGGGGGAAGCTAAACCTGTGATCTCCTGTGATAGGTCCTTGTGGGCCTCTCTGCAGGCCCCGGTTTGGCAGAGTCCACTTTCAGGCGTTATTTTGTCAGGTAACTGAAGAAAAGCAGATGAAGGTGCCTGAGAAAAACAAAAAGAAAGGCAGCCACTGTCATGTTGTATCTGATCACCTTATATAAAAACCCGTGGGTAAGCTGAGCTGTGGTTTACTGTATACACTCTTTGGTATCTAGACCAGACCTCAGTTTCACGCCCTAACATGCAATCTTCAAATGCAGAGGTTTTTAGTTAAGAAGTGAAATGGTACTATAGGTTTAGTGTTAATGACAGATAAGATGGCTGGTTAAGGACATTTACTCATCGTCCCATATACTGCGTTCCATTTAGCTCGGAGGTCGGAACTCGAAACTGGGAATGACGTCACACACCAGTTAAACGCGTTCCAGCACAGCAAGTCGGAAACCAACCCAGGGCAAGGTGACAGTATGACCAGTGCATACATTTATTTATGTAGCAAACACTTTGGACCAAAGCAACACAAAAGAGAAGATCAGATAGCGGTCCAGGGCTTTGCTCAAAGACCCAACAGTGATATCATTCTTTTGCCAGCCATGGGATTTGAATCCACAACCTACCATATATGAGCATATGTCTCTAACCCACTGAACTGCACACCATTGCAATTTGGTCAGAAGGCAAACACAAATGCAGGCTCATTAACATCTCTCTGTTTGTCTGATTTGACTTTAAAATGTGGACTTTGTTTTAATTTGCAGGTCAGGTCATATTTCCAAATGCAAATTGACAGCTCATAGCCAGAGGTGGATAGTTCAGGTCCAGAAAGTAAAATATCCAGACCAAAAGTTTGTTTCAACCAACCAGCTGAGTACTATGTTACTGTGACTCTTTATACTCAACTGACTGGTTGAAACTAAATCTTGGTCTGGATTTTTACTTTCTGGACCTGAACCTACCCACCGCTGCTTATAGCAGGTATAGAGGGTGGAGTACTGTAATTCTGGGGATGATCTTCACTATGGAAAGTTCCCTTTTCCACATTCCTCAATGGAATGCCA